TGGACTTTACGGCCGTCGTGGAGAAGCAGCTGAACTGCAATACGCCCGCCCTGCTGTGCTCGGTGCCCGGCTTCGATGCCTCCGGCCGTGTGGATGACTTGGCCGCGGAGCAGAACAAGCAAATATCCAGCATTGCCATTGGCTCTGCCGAGGGCTTCAATCAGGCGGAGCGTGCCATTAACATGGCCTGCAAGACCGGTCGCTGGGTTCTGCTCAAGAACGTGCACCTGGCGCCCCAGTGGCTGGTGCAGCTGGAGAAGAAGATGCACTCGCTGCAGCCTCACTCGGGCTTCCGTCTCTTCCTCACCATGGAGATCAACCCGAAGGTGCCCGTCAACCTGCTGCGTGCCGGACGTATCTTTGTGTTTGAGCCGCCACCGGGCATCCGGGCCAATCTGCTGCGCACCTTTTCCACAGTGCCGGCGGCACGCATGATGAAAACGCCCAGCGAGCGGGCCAGACTCTACTTCCTGCTGGCCTGGTTCCACGCCATCGTGCAGGAGCGTCTGCGCTACGTGCCCCTCGGCTGGGCCAAGAAGTACGAGTTCAACGAGTCGGATCTGCGCGTGGCCTGCGACACCCTGGACACCTGGATCGACACCACGGCCATGGGCCGCACCAATCTGCCCCCAGAGAAGGTGCCGTGGGATGCGCTCGTCACGCTGCTCTCCCAGTCCATCTATGGCGGCAAGATCGACAACGACTTTGACCAGCGTCTGCTGCAGTCCTTCCTCAAGAAACTCTTTACCGCCCGCAGCTTCGAGGCTGACTTTGCCCTGGTGGCGAATGTGGACGGAGCTTCGGGAGGATTGCGCCACATCACCATGCCGGACGGCACACGTCGCGACCACTTCCTGAAATGGATTGAGAACCTAACGGATCGTCAGACGCCCTCCTGGCTGGGCCTGCCCAACAATGCCGAGAAGGTGCTGCTGACCACTCGCGGCACGGATCTGGTGAGCAAGCTGCTGAAGATGCAGCAACTGGAGGACGATGACGAGCTGGCGTACAGCGTGGAGGAGCAGTCTGCAGAGAATGCTCTGGCTGTGGCTCGCAGCGAGGATGGTCGCCCGTCTTGGATGAAGGCGCTGCACAACTCGGCCACCGCCTGGCTGGAGCTGCTGCCCAAGAGTCTGCAGGTGCTCAAGCGCACAGTGGAGAACATCAAGGATCCGCTGTATCGCTACTTCGAGCGCGAGGTGACCAGCGGCGCACGGCTGCTGCAGACGGTGATCCTTGACCTGCAGGACGTCGTGCTAATCTGTCAGGGTGAGAAGAAGCAGACGAACCATCATCGTTCCATGCTCTCGGAGCTGGTGCGCGGCATCATACCCAAGGGCTGGAAGCGCTACACAGTTCCTGCCGGCTGCACCGTCATTCAGTGGATCACGGACTTTAGCAATCGCGTGCAGCAGCTGCAGAAGGTGTCACAGCTGGTTTCGCAGGCGGGCGCCAAGGAGCTGCAAGGCTTCCCCGTATGGCTGGGCGGCCTCCTCAATCCCGAGGCGTACATCACGGCCACCAGGCAGTGTGTGGCGCAGGCCAACAGCTGGTCGCTGGAGGAGCTGGCGCTGGAGGTGACCATCACCGATGCAGGCCTCAAGACCGACCAGAAGGACTGCTGCTTCGGCGTGACCGGACTCAAGCTACAGGGCGCCCAATGCAAAAACAACGAGTTGCTTCTGGCCTCTACCATCATGATGGATCTACCAGTGACCATCCTTAAGTGGGTCAAGTGAGTATACGAATTGGTAAACTTCATTTAGCATAGACTAAAATATGATTTTCCATCAGGATATCGTCGGAGCCACGCATCAGCAAGCTCACGTTGCCTGTCTATCTGAACTCGACTCGCACAGAGCTGCTCTTCACCGTGGACTTGGCTGTGGCCGCTGGACAGGATTCGCACAGCTTCTACGAGCGTGGCGTGGCCGTTCTCACGTCCACCGCCTTGAACTAAATATCGCATCTAATACTCGTTATGCTACCCCAATATTTACTTAAACTACAACAAAATAATCAACATTATAGAATATCCAGCAAACGATTACGTCTCCCCTTAGTACTCGTAAAATTCTATATCCAATACATACATAAAATCAACAAAAACAATGTTCTGGCTGCGCCGGTCAGCACAATTGCTGGGACAACGACAACAACGAAGGCGCATGAGTGCGTTCCGCATGCCGATGATGTATCCCAAGTTGGATGATTACTCTCTGGTGCATTTGGAGGAGGTGCGTCGCTTTGTTCGGGACTGCTTGAAGCGGATTGGCGTGCCCGAATCGAAGCTGCGCTGCGTCAGCGAATTCCTAGTGGCCGCCGACTATCGGGGCATATATGGCAGCGGCCTCAACCAGCTCGATCTCTACCTGAACGACCTGCACCATCGTCGCGCCGATATGGACGCTGAGCCAGAGATCATCCGTGAGACCATGGCCAGTGCTCATGTGAATGGTAACGGTGCCCTGGGCGTCATTGTGGGCAAATTCTGCATGGACCTGGCTGTGGAGAAGGCGAAAAAATCTGGCGTCGGCTTTGTGGTGGCCAATCAGTCGAATCACTTTGGAATTGCCAGCTGGTACGCTCTACAGGCGCTCGACCACGGCTATGCGGGACTAGTTATGTCCAATGGGGCTCCGATGATGGTGCCGCCGCGCTCGAAGGTGTCCAGCATTGGGGCCAACTGCCTGGCCTTTGGCGTCAGGGGACGGGACTCGTATTTTATGCTAGACATGGCCGCCAGTATGAAGGACATTGGCTCCATTGAATGGGCCGTCACCAAAAACGAATATATTCCGCACAGCTGGGCGGCGGATGAGAGTGGCTATTCCACGAGCTTTCCCACGCTGGCCATGCGTAACCCGCGCCTAGCCTCTGCTGGTGCACACAAGGGCTACTGCCTGGCCGCCATGATTGATCTGCTGTGCGGGGTTCTATCTGGAGCCAACTTCTCCACGCAGATTCCATCCTGGAGGTCGAATGCAAGTGGCAAATGCCCCAACCTGGGCCACATCTTTTTCGCAATCGATCCGGACTTTTTTACCCCTGACTTTATGGAGCGACTCGATGACTTCAACGAGTGCATCCAGAACAGCTGCCCTGTCAACGTGGCGAACCCTGTCCAACTGCCAGGGGAGCTGGAGATGCGCCACATGCACCTTGTGGAGAAGTTGGGTGCTTTGCCATACCACAAAGGCCTGTTGCGAAAGTACAAGGCCATTGCGAAACAGTTCAGCGTCAAGCCCATTCGGTTGTTTCAAAAGGACGATGAGCTGATACCGGGACACTAGGCGATGAATTTTGATCTCTTAGGAGAATGAAAGGACAAATAATCCGTATGAGGGAGTGGCATCGTGAAGGACTCTACTGTGGCTGCATCTGTTGTATTTTTCGTAAAAGGACGCCAACTGCAGCGGCATCTGTTGGCTTTTTCGAGAAAGGACTTTTACTTCAGCGTCATCTATATGTTGTTTTTGGCCAAAAGGACTTTTCATACTGGGAACAGTGTTCTTTTTTTCGAGAAAGGACTATGTACTAGCACCATCTGTTGTAGTTTTAAAAAGGGAAATTTTGTCACTGGTAGTAGAATACACACATTAATCTAATTAAATATAGAACTAGCACCTAGCTTATTTTATTATAATAAAATTAACTCAAAAACACGATTTATTTTGTTTACCATAAAAACCGTGGCATACTTTCAGGGTGACCAATTAAAATGGCTTAAAAATGGTTGATCCTTGTGGTCCTTGAGGTCCTTCGTGGTGTCAAACGTTTCACGAGACTCTTCCGCTCACACGGACATGCATCACGTCCTGGTCGGATGTGAAATGACCATACTATAAAAATTATATCCTTAGTCCTTGATGTCCTTGATGCCAAAATGATGCAGAAGGATCAGGATAGTCGTCCTGATTACGAAAACGTGCCGCACGTCCTGATCGGGCAACAAATGGCCAAGATGTAGAACAATTACATTTTGAGATTTAAAAAAACCAGTTTCAGAGCAGCCAGCTCTTGATAGGATGAAGAAACATAAAACCAGCTACCTACTGCTGATTTATGTTCGCCTAGTACTTGGTCCGAAAATTGCCAATTGATCGATGCAATTTCAACAGTTGTGGAAGACAAAAACCAGTGGCGCCCCCTCGATCATGACGGCCACGGCCGGAACTAAAATATAGTAGTTCTAGAATTGCCCGCTAACGGTTGGGGCGCCACTGTGCTCGTTGTTTGATTTTTTGGTTGAAATTGCTTGGCTTGAGTGGCAATTTTCGGACCGAGTACTAGGCGAACATAAATCAGCAGCAGGTAGCTGGTTTTATGTTTCCTCATCCTATCAAGAGCTGGCTGCTCTGAAACTGGGCGGTTTTTTTTAAATCTCAAGTCACTACAAATTGTTGTCTTTTAAGGATGCCCGTTTGCAATATCCTGGCCACTCGTTGACCGATCAGGACATGCCATACAGGAATGCCATACCATTCGTAATCAGGACAAAAATCCTGATCGTTTTCAATCCAATTGGGATCAAGGACATCAAGGACTAAGGATATAATTTTTATATTATGGCCATTTCACATCCGACCAGGACGTGATGCATGTCCTTGTGAGCGGAAGAGTCTCGTGAATCGTTTGAATCCACGAAGGACCTCAAGGACCACAAGGATCAACCATTTTTAAGCAACTTTAATTGATCACCCTAAAAGTATGCCACACTATATTTGTTTTGCATCAAGACCCCCAAAAGAATAGTGAGATTTTATTTAATACGCCACCCCCAAAAGTATGCCGTGGTTTTTAAATACATATTTCTATCTTTATTTAATACCATTTCTTTTCCTGTCAGAACTTGCCTTTTTACACATACATTTTTAATTATATTTTTTAAGGGTAGTTCGATGTGTACTTCAGATCAGCGGGGATACAGGAGTCCTGTGTACATCGTCCTTGATGTCCCCCTCGCCTGGGTGAGATGTTCATGAATGTTGGCCGATATGCATAAAAGTATGAACGGGAATTGCAGACATTAAAATGGGAGATAAAATGAGATTCAGGGTCTATTAACACACACTTACCATGGCCTGGCCCTGCTGGCCAATGATTTCTCCAGAATAAATTCGTAAAAATTGTCAATCGATCAAAAGAGATTCCCCAAGTCGCCGAATGGTTGGGTCTTCGTTGGAGAAACTTGCTTTAGTCGCCTTTAATTATCTGCAAGAGAAAAATCATGTCATTAATGGAAACCCGCAGGACTAGCAAAACGCAATCACAATCAATCACACACAACCAGTGAATGAGAGGCAACAATCCCCGACGATAATCTTCTCTGCGAATGCATCAGCTGGCATTTGCATTCTGGCGGCTGATTCCAGATGCCTCCAGTGATGGGTGGGTTCCGCGCTCAAACATGGATAATTGCTTCACGCTGAGACTTTCGGTTTCTTGCCGGCTCGGGGATTGTCGGGTCCGCCGTAATATTCTATCCGGTGCAGCTTCAGCGACCGTAAGATACGCTGCAGCTCAGTGGCCCCCCATGCGGGGTTCTGGACTACTTAAGGTAATTGCTGTGAATGGAAATTATCGTAAATTATTCAAATTACGAGCGAAATGGACTATAAATAGGGCTGGCAATCGGTGCACTCGACTCACAATGTTGCGAGAAACCGCGAACGCCATGTCGCTGGCAGTCCTGGAAGTATCATCCTGGAGCATCATCCTGTTGCTGTGCACGGCTGGAGTGCGGTCCGGTCAGCCGCAGGGCAGGGATCTGCCCACCCAGAGCCTCGATGAGTTCCGGCAGCGGTACTTGCTGCCGCTGATCTCCTCGGACACTCGGAACTGCACGCTGAATGCCTGCGAGTCGCTGGGCATTGTCTCCCAGCTCCTGATGCTCATCAACTCGATGCCGAATGGCACACAGTCTGCGGCCAGAGACCAGCAGCCGTCCAAGCCGAAGAAGGAAGTCCATGGTGGCAATGGCGATGCCAGCAGCGACGAGGTGAACGCCATGACGCACCTGGCAAACTTTGACCTGGTGAAGCGGGTGCGTCAGATCGAGAGTCGTCTGCGATCCGTGGAGCAGCCCATCTGGCATCTGTCCAGCGGCAGCCAGATCGAGTGGAATCACTGCACCTCCGGCGTGTGTCGCTGCAATCCGGACACCAAGAGTTTCACCTGCTGGAACACGAACCTCAAGTCGGTGCCGGTCACCCAGGTTATTCCCATGAATATGGTGTCCATGTAAGTAGCATTTTGAATGATTGGAGATTCAGATAAATAAAGACCCTTTGCTCACCAGTGATCTCTCTCGTAATATTCTCTCCACGCTGCACAAGGACACCTTCCGTGGGTTGACGCTGCTGAAGGAGTTGGACATCTCGAACAATGTGCTCGACTTTTTACCCTTTGACTTGTTTCAGGATCTGGATAGCCTGCTGCATCTGTAAGTGCATCTCTGCGGCCATTCCCGATCTCTATCTCTCCCTCTTCTAGTCGCATTCAGAACAACCAACTGGAGGACATTGATCCGCGCACCTTTTGGAAGCTGCGCAACCTGAACATTCTCGACCTGAGCAAGAACGCGATTGGTTTGCTGCCCGAAACGATCTTCTTCCACGCCCAACGACTCACTGTGATCAACATGTGCGGCAATCAAATAAAGAACTTTCCCCCCAATCTGCTGCGCGACCAACTGGAGCTCGAGGAGCTGGACATGTCACGCAACAAGATCGAAAAGCTTGGCTCCGGCAGTGTGCGCTCCTTGAACAAGTTGAAAACCCTCGACTTTGGCTGGAATCAAATCGGTGAACCCAATCAGAGTTTACCCATTAGCCCATTGTCTAATGTTATTTGTGCATCCACAGCCAGGATAGACGACGATTTCTTTGCGGGCTTGACGAGCCTGCGCATTCTGATGCTGCACAACAATCGCATCTCATCGATTTCGGCCACTATCTTCAATAATCTCGTCAATCTGGTGACCTTGGATCTAACAATGAACCGGATAAGTCATGTAACGAGTTTTCTTACCCCTCTTGGAGCAAAGAATCAATCCTAAGCTGTTTACATAGATCGATGGTCAGGCATTTGTGGGACTGAAACATCTGAATGAGCTGCTCCTCGGCCAGAACTCAATGTCCAGCATCCCGGCAGACCTCTTCCTGCATGTCAGCGCCCTCACCCGGCTGACGCTCTTCTCCAACAATCTGACCACCCTGGAGGAGGATGATTTCCAGGGACTCAGCAGCCTGAAGATTCTCATGCTGAACAACAATGTTCTCAAGTACTTTGATGCCAGGGCCTTTGAGCCGCTCACCCAGCTGGAAAAGCTGTGAGTTTTCCTCCATTTCCTGATGCACGCATCGAAAGTTTAACGCAAATCCTTTCCTCCCTCTTCCGCCAGTCGAATTGATTCCAATAAGCTGATGTTCCTGCCCACCGGGTCGCTGCATGGACTGGACAAGCTGGTGGCCGTCAAGTTGGACAAGAATCCGTGGCACTGCGACTGTCGTGCCCTCTACCTGGCCCGCTGGATACGCGAATTCGTGCTGAAGCTCTGGGACGGACAGCAGCCCATGTGTCGCGGCCCCGGCGACTTGGGTGGCCATGAGGTGGGCCTGCTGCGCTACGATGATCTGTGCGATGGCCAGTGGGCCAGCATGTTGTCCCTGTCGCCACGTCTGCCGGTCCGCAAGCATCGCATCTCCACTCCGATGAACTATACTGACTATTTCAATCTGTACTTGAAGCACATCTACAACAAGACCACCGACGAGGAGCTCAAAGAGGCAGAGATAACCAGTGTGGCCATCAAAAAGGTGCATCACGATTGATCGAGGACTTACAACTAGTTACTCAATGTTAAAGTTTATGCTAGAAAATGTGTTCGAGTTGCACAATAGAGGCAGGCCCTTTCGGATCCCACTCAGACGAGACTTCCTACGAACTTCCTGTGTGCCACAAAATGATTTCCGCTTGAAGTTTGCGACTGACAATTATGCCATTTGTGCCATTGCTTTTGCCATTTAGTATTCATTTGCAACCTCATGGGCAAACAAACCATCCTTAGGCTGCCCGTCTCCTAGCCGCTATCTCCAACAGGAACTCCTTGTCCTGGGCCTGGCACAAATTACGGCCCTGTCTCGGTCTCGGTCTCGGTACCGGTCTCGGTCTCGCGTGCCGCTTTTTACCGCTGTCTGCGTTTGCGACAAGCTTTTTACCTAACCAATTTATTGCTTCCGCCCCAGGTCCAGCTCCAGACTGCCAGCCAGCCTGCAATCTCTCCCTCCGCCAAGTCCAACTGGGAGTGCTGCTCCTCTGCCTGCCACGTAGTAGTTTTCGTTGGCAATATTGCATTCCGCTTTTATAGTTGTTCCTACCTATTCCTCCCTGTTTTTTTTTTTTTTTGGTTGCCGCTGTCCTTGCCATTTCCATGTGTTGACATTGCCATGCTCCATTCACTTTCCCCACTTTTCCCCGACACTGGCTGCTGGCTGCTGGCTGCTTCCTGTTGTCAGTTTTGGGTTCTCCTCCTACTCCCACTCCCACTCCCACTGGCACTCCCACTGGCACTCCTGGCTGCTGCTGCTGATTCTGCTCCTGCCCGATAGTGTGGCTGTCATCGTTGTCGGCTCCCATCCGTGGCAATGAATGACCATCCCCAAACCCAAACCCAGAGGGGAAAGTGGTGTACTCTACGGTGTAGTCATCGGGTGTAGACTGCAAATGCATTTTATAGAAAATTTGCAAGGCAAATATTAAAAATTGAATGCCGCCATTTCGGCTCAGAGTCTGTTGTTGTTTCTGCCCCATCGGCTGTTTTCCCTGCCACTGCTGTTGTTGTTTGTGCGATGTCTGGGAACCGGCGCTGATTGCCTCAAAGTGGTTGCGGCTCTGCTCTGCCTTTGCGGCACACGGCGGGCAAAAAGTGTCAACCCTTTTCCATTCCATTCCATACAATATGTAATCATATTTTTCTTTATACGCTACGCACGCCTCACCGTTAAATACACAGAGGGAACGATGGGGGGGGATGGAGCATTTTTTGGTAGTGTGAACGGGAATCCAGCTATCAGCCACATCTGTCCCTGCCCCCAACCCACGGATACGTTGCTGCCTAAAGCGGAAGTAAAAGGATTTGAATTGCCTTTTGCCAGCAACATAACAAAACATCCCAAAGCGCACCCCTAATGTATGCAAATTCCCTCAAGTTTAAAGTCTTTCGCCAGCTAAGCAAACAACTTAGCAGCAGCAGCAGCAGCAGCGTCTCGCTGTAGGCCAGAAACAAGCAAATGTGCGAGAGGGAGGGTCAGCATCTTAATTGAATGCCAATAATGAAGGCCGAGCAAGTACGAAGTGCTTTAGGTATGTAGTTTATACCATGGTGACACATATTAAAGTAAATTTTAGCTGCATTTTTATGGTGATTTTTGTCATCTAAACACGTTTGTTATACCGAAATTGATTTCTAATTTGACATGAACTTTCCACTCTGTCTCTACATATTCAAGTCTTACTCCACATCCACATCTACTTGGCTTTCTCTACATACTATTTGTACCTTTTCCGTGCTGCTTTTTTCCGCTAAGCTTTCGAATTCACCTCGTTGCAGCTTTCCCCTTTTATCCGCTGCATGCTGAAATGGCGCTGTTGTCACCCACTCCTCACTCGCAAGAGCACTCATAACTGCGTTCAAGTTGCTCTTTAACTCTGCCGAGTGCTTTCTCACTGCTCAAGCGCGCTCTTTGCTCAGCAGAATTCTCTTAGGCGCACACCCGAAGACGCTTGACACACTGAACTCGGTCGGAAGTTGGAGTTTCGGGACAGAAAACGGCAACGACGTTCACCGGCATCTGCTGCCGTGCCTTGTGCCTCGTGTCTCTCATGTCTCTCTGGATGCCTTTGCCACCCACACTGCCACATGCTGCAAGTTGGTCAAAATTGTGATTTATTTGAAATTTTTAATAATTCGGCATTGGGTTTTATTGTGTGTGCCTGAGTTAAATTGTTTGAATGAGCAGGCCACGCAAATTAATGCAAATTTCATGCAGCTCGCACGCAGCCCGCACCCTTACAATCGCACTTGTGCCACAGGATACCGAATGGAGTGGCAGAGTGGCAGAGTGGATTCCGTTCCGTGCCTGACCTAAGGCAATGCCAAGGCAGCCGCACCAAAATTTGACTATGGCAAATTCACTTAGACGTTGGCCTGGCCTTTCCACGCGGTGCCCAAACTTTCTGCCACATTCTCCTCTCCTTTTTTGTTCCCCTTTTGTTCTCCTTTTTTTTAATCTTTCCTTTGGTTTTCATACATATTTAGCACATGCTGCATAAGGAGTGGCCACTGAGGGGGGTTTGTGTTTGCTTGCCACTTTGGGGCACAGGCTACAACGCATAAAGATGCGACTTGGCTGTAAGTGTGTTTATGTATATGTGTGGAAGGACGGACGGACGGACGGACGGACGGACGAGTGCGGGTGTGTGGCTGGTTTTTGCGGCTATGCTCGCGTCCACTGCGGACTCTGGCTGCCTGACTTTTGCCGCTGCCTGGCTCTGGCTCTGGCTAGCTCTGGCAAAATGCGGCGTACACTTAATTCGGTTTATGCTCGAACGTGTCGCACATTATTCTTATGAGCACTCCTTCGCTCTCTCTCTCTCTCTCTCTGTCTCTCTCTCTTTTGCTACGATGTGTGAAATATGCTGAATGTGTGTGCACAGCAATTTTGATTAGACACAAGCACAGAGGAGCCACCCACACACACACACACACACACACACACTCGCAATTGACACCAAGGACGCGAAACAATTAAAATTTTGCATTCTTTTCATTCGTTCTTGTTGTTGCTGCTGTACAACAATCTGTTTGATTTGCACTAAACGCGGAATAATGAAAATTATGGAAATGAAATGCCTGCCCATTGACCTCAATGAGCAGCCAACTGCAGAGGATACCGAAAAAGAGGAGCCGGAGAAGGGACAAAAACAGTGGCAGCTGGGTGGCAGAGACTGGGGAAACCCACCCCCAAATCAGTGATGCAGAGTCCAAGATCTCAAAAGGAAACCGACTCCAAGCTGCTTAAGTAAACGAAAATTATGCTAACGAAAAGCTCTTCAAAATGATATCATAACTATTTAGAGCTGGCATCAATTATTTTGAAACAAATTCCCGGGCTATACAGAATCACTTACCCACAGAAAGATACTCATACTCTCTCTCTCTCTCTCTCTCTCTCTCTCTTCCGATGCCCGTTTCGGTGTCCTCAAACTGCCGGTTTGCTCATAATTTTAACGAGCCATTTTCGTGTGAAAAGTGTGTCGCCATTTGCCTTGCCCACAGAGCCAGCCAAGTGGCCAACTGAAGTGGAACTTTTAATTTCAATTTTTTATTACTTCAAATCTGTTTGCCAGCGACCGTTGCTGCAGCCTGGAGTCGCCTCGAGTCAACCTGTGGTGTCACCTGTTTTTCCATTGTTTCCGCTCTCCGCTCTCCGCTCCTCTTTCTGGGGTTTTTTGTTTTTTTTTGGGGGGTGTTCGCTTGCAGCAAGTTTTGCGGCATTTTAAATACGGAAATGAAAATGCTTTTTCGGTTAGTTTTTCCACGCTGAGTTCGGTGCTCGGTGACGGTGTTTTCCGAGATGGCTTCTTTGGCTTTGGTAAGCCACTCGCCTGCATTTATTGGCCAGGCGACACATTTTTATTGCCCAGTTGTAGTTTTTGGCCCGGGGGCTGCGCACATGCCGCACTTGTGCTGTCAGTCGGTCGCTCTCCACCGCTCACCGCTCACCGCTGAGTTCTCCCTCTTTCCCTGGCAGGCAGCATCTTGTCAGTTTTGTGGATTTCCCCTTGCGGTGGCGGCGGTTGGCGGAAAAGTTTGTGTGCACTCGCACTCGGCGCTTGGGGTCTAATCACATTGCCAGGAATCAGGCAGCAGGCGGCAGACGCCAACCTTCTCAGTACGTGATGCATTTTTTACAAGGCGCTCGCAGACACACGCTGCCCCCCCCTCAGATAGTTCAACTTCGACTTTGGCTCGACTGCGCTCACAATTTGACTTTTGATGTGGGTATCTCCAGCCCACTCTCTCCCCGTGTTTGTGTGTGGGTTGACTGGGCTGATGCGCCCTCGAGCACCATGGGTGAAATGCAAAAGTTTCGCTGCGAAAATTGCTCGGCTTGCCTCAAGTTTTCCAATAATATTGATACTTGTGTGGGCTCCCATTTTAACTTGATATCGAAAACTATCGAGAGCGAGTGCCGCAGGGCGCGGCTCACTGGTTATTAAACACTTAATGGACCAAGGCCAAAGCGTCGAACAATAATATTGAATATTTATTCAGCCGGGACATAAACCAGGGCAGCCACGCAAAAACATTCCATCAGTGAAACTATTTTGCAAAGGGGGTTGTGACTCACTCTCTCTCTCTGCCTGCCTGCCCCATGGTGCGGTGCATGCCGCACATTCGGCATGTCAGAATTTGTGGATATTCCTGTTTAAATACCGTAATGAAGTCTGCTTATACAATATAATGTACCGTGTTTGTGCTACGTGCCTTGGTTATGTTATTGCACGCCGATCCCTACTTCCGCTTGCCAACAATGCCCCCCCGTGCCACATGCCACATGCCTCATGCCACAGGGACGTGGGCAAGGGGGGAAACTGTTTGTGGTGGCTGCAGGGAGACATCTTTTGCCTCCCCTACCTTGACTCTTGTTTTTATTTGCGTCGGCAAATCTTAAGCTTGTTTAACTGCTCGTTAGTGTTAGTCAGCGACTAGCTAGTCGCATCCTCGGCTGACATTTCCCAGGCACCAGGCACCAGCTCCAGCGTGACACCCTATTGTTATAACACGTTCACGACCTAGTCAACGTCTCCAGCGCTGGGGTTCTCTCAGTACTCGCAGTCTGTGTTTGGCAAGCATCGAAGTATACACCGAAAGTAGTGCCATCAGTAGACTCCACACAGAGCGAGAGAGAGAGAGAGGGAGAGGGGTAGTCCTGGTGTGTGTGCCAAGGTGCATGCTAAGTACCGACCTCCAAGTCTTAGCTGAAGCTCCTTCCTCATCCTGCTGGCAGTGGGTAACGTAAAGGTAACTGCTGACTGCCTGACTGGTAAATGTTTGTCCAGCATAATTGCGCTCAGCATGCAGTTGCCTCTGCCTCTGCCTTTCTGCTACAATATTTTTCCTCTCGTTTGTTGCCTTTGCCAGGGCTTTTTTCAATTTTCCCTATTCCTTGCTGTCGCTGCCTGTGCAAGCAACCCTGGTGGCAGGCAGGCTTGGGCCAGCTTTAAAGGCTTTGGAACTTGTTTACGTGGCGTATTAGTATAATTTACAACGGAAGCCGCCATCAAAAGCTTTGAGGCGCCGCAGGCAAGTCGTTGAATTATTTTCACATTGCCGCAACCAAAACTAATTTCAAAACTGTTCGAAGTCCTGCTCCTTCTACAGGTCTACATGTGTGTGTGTGCCACAAAGAAAACAAAAGGACACAGTGCCAGAAGGTACAACACTATCATCATACAAAACTGAATCTCGCGCTAGGCACTACCAAAGAAACCATAAACCAATAAACAGCCAACAGCCAATGGAGAACTCTTTGGGGTAGACCCAAAGCTATGTGAAATCCATAAGTAAAATGCTGCCCGGGTTTAGATATAGAAACCACAATTATATGGCAATTGCTTTAAACCAAACAGGAAGAGCCCTAACTCCTGGGCAAACACAACACACACTCCACTCCACTCCAAATCCTACTCGGACTCGGACTCTGACTCTGACTCGTATTTATTTGTGTGTTTTGCCCATTACAATTGTCGCAGCAATTGCTGGCTATAACAATTACCGTTTCGTGTTTAACCATAATAATCTGCTCAGTTCTCAGTGTTTGTGTAATTAAAGCAACAACAACAACAACAACAACAATAAAGCCAAGAACCCAAACCTAGAGCCAGGGCCAGGGCCACCACTCTTGCCCACCAGAGAGTTTTTATTGTTGACCAAATAAGAGTTCTGGGGATTTAAAATGGTTTAATCAACTCGTTCATATATATGCAGTGTGTATTTTATATTCCGCAAATATTTACGGCTGGGCAGGAGGCTCTGTGATTTAGCAGCTCTCCTTTCCAAAAACCGTAGACGTAGACGTGCGTGCGTGCGCCGTGCGCGATTTCTCCTTGGCACATAAATCTTTGCTTTGGGGCAAATTTAAAAATAATACAGCGCCACAAGATTTATATGTGGCAGGCCGAAGACTGCCGGAGACCTGGGGCCAGGTGAAAGCAATGGGCAGCCAGCCAGCTGGGGAATCTCGATTATTATTATGCAATTTCAAGTGTTTAATTAATGTATTCTATTTTATTGCATTGTATTTAGGATATTGGTATTGGTGATGGTGTGGATGTGTGCATGTAGATATACATATATGCATAGGTTTATAGATATTATTATAGATGTAAATTGTTGCTCACTTAAATGATAATTGCGAAATTGCTTGCTTGGTTAATAGCGCATAAATACATTATTAAATGCATAACCAATTGTGTTTCACTTGTAGTTATTGTTTGTTATCTGTTATTGTTATCTGTTTATCCATCACTCGTCCGTCCGTCGGTCGGTCTCCTGTGCTAGCTGCGTGCCAGCATCCCATTGATCATGATGTTGGCCAGGGCATTCCTTCGCTTGCGCCACGCCCCCATGCCTTGGGCATGGTACTGCAGCTGTGTGTACCACTGCTTGGTCCTCACACCATCCTCGGCCTGCTCGAAACAAAAAACAAAACAAAAAAGAGAGAGTGTAAATCCGTTAGGCGTATTTTTGATTGACTGGGCGCCGGAGAGCACGCTCTGGCTCCTCCCCCCCCCTTCGTGGTTGTCATTTTGACAGCCGCTCCACCTCGGTGTTGAGTAGTGTGTAGAGCATGTGTGTGTGTGTGTGTGTGTGTGCTTTCTGTCTGTCAGCTGTTCAGTTGGCCGGAACTAAACGTTTCAATTTATGCGCCAACGGGCCTACGTCAAGCCTTGGAGCATCTCCTGTTTCCCGTATCCTGTATCCTTGCCCTTTCACGCACACATTTTGTTGCGCTTCTGTGCGTTCCATTCTTTATATATAACGTATTTCAATAAATGTCATTCATTTTGGCAGCCGCTCTGCTCTCTACGTGCGCCGCCTGAGCGCGCTTGAAAGGGCCGCCCGCGGGGCCAGGCTACAGCTACAGCAGCAGCCAAAGAACTCAGGACTCACGGACAAGGGACACGGATCTCAGGACTGGGGCTTAGCCCCGTTTGAATCACGAACATTTGCATGTCTAAAATCTTGTTGGCTGGCTGGCTGTGGGCTGTGGCCTCCTACAACCATTGGACAAGAAGATATTCGAAATGGATTTTTGCATACGCTTCTTGTGCTTTTGTCTGTTATTGAAATTACTTTGCTTTTACTAAACAGCAGCAGCAGCAGGAGGACACAAAGCAGGTAAACTCTTCATTGTATGGGCCACAGCTTCGTTCCTCTCCACGCAGATAAGAAAATCAGCATCAGAATTTGTTCTGTTCGAAGGTAAAAGGTTACACGGGTGTGCGTGTGTGCGAATGAGTTTTCTGTGAGTGATTTTTATTACATTCCCGCAGGAGCGAACGAGCCATTTCGCCCTAGCTTGGAGCTCTGCTTTTGGCTGGCTATATTTCCATATTGTTTGTCGGTTAATCGTTCTGTTGCTGCTCTATTAACCACAGAGACCAGGAGACTGGAGCATTTTTGCCACCACTCGAATCGGATATTCCGGGCCGAAATCCAATACTAAGCTGGCAAACGGCAGAACGAAACTAACGAAGCCCAAACATTGGCGTTGTGCAGTCAAAAGGCAAACGCTTACTAATTCAAAAGCCAACTCAACTGGCAGAGGCACACGGACACGGACACGGACACGGACAAGGACACGGACGAGAGAGAAACACAGACTAAAACGGAGCAACACAGAGTACAGACCAATCCGGGCCATCTATCTATCTATCTATCTATCTATCCATGGCCAGTTGAAGTGGAAAACAAAGAGCCGGCAACGGGACCGGCACTAGTAGTCGTGTACTAGATATGGGCAGGCAGACAGGAACTATCCTACTACTCACTTTGAATATGAATGTGTCCTTCGATGAAATTTCCTGCACTTCGAAATAATCATCCCAATCCGCTTCGCTGCACACCACACATCTGTCCAGATACAGAGGCTCACGGATCAGCGTGTAGCGTCCACATTTCTCCTTCACCAGCAGCAGCGAGGCCTCCCGTATGCCCGTGTGCTTCGGGAAATTCAGTTTATCCGACATGGCCTTCTCCGCCCTATAATTGGCACTTGGCTGTTGTTGTTTTTTTTTTTTCGCAGTAGTAGTTGTAGTTGTCATCGAAGAGGGAAAAGGCATCCCAGCAGCAGCAGCAGCAGCAGCAACAATGAAAAAGAAATACAAAAAAATTGAATCAAAAAATACAAAGCAAAAAAAAATATACAGAAAATTGTGTAAAGCGAAACTAAACAAAATTACAGCTGAAATATCAGTGGGAGTGGGAGACGGGCAAGTAGAGTTTTGCTCTCCCCAGATAAGCGGCTGGCAAAGCGCACAAAGCGTGTCAAGCCCAAGCAACTGCCGCAGGAAGCAGTGGAAGTGGCAGCAGCAGCAGCAGCCAGGAATCTCAAATCAGACAAAAAAAATGAGGGAAACAAAATATGGAACGAAACGAAATGTTGACCGTTGTAGAATTGAGCAATTGTCGGAGGCGCAGCGGGGATAAAAGCTGGCCAGAAATTTAGAGCAGGACACAGACAGACACAGAAAAAAAACTCAACAAAACATGTGACATACGCACTGCGTCCATGTCGATTACGTCCCTAGATCTCCCATTGGGGAAGCACACAGGAAGCCCAGCCGGATGCTGCTGGTGTCACCTCTCCTCCTACGGCTCATACTTCGCCCACTCTCTGTCTGATTTGTTCTGGTGTTAAAATGCTTTTGTTTTTAGGCAGAACTGGCAGAAACGCCATCAAAGAGAGAGAGAGAGAGATTGTTGCTGGGATAAGCACTTTTCATTAGAAGCGAAAAACGAATGAGAGAAAACGAAAACGAGAGCTCGAGGAAGCTGCCGGCTAGGCTTGGCTGCGGTTTCGGTTCAATGGGTGTGCCGGGCGGCTCCTGCGTCGGCTTCAGCACTGATTTGTTGAAATCTTTTATCGCACGGAAAAGTGTTGCCATGGCAGGCAGCTCCGACAGCTCTCCCTTCGATTTGATATTGCACGAAAAATGGGAATGGGAATGGAAATGGGAATGTGCAAGTGCCGCTCGCTAATTGCCCCGCCAGCTCCTTCATGTCAAATGCCAGGCGGGCGGCAGCTGCTCGCCTCTTGTCGCCTGTCAAACGTGACCCGCAGAAGGGGAACAAGAAAAAACAGCCCCACGATGGCAGGGTGGCGCTAATCAAAAGCTTCTGTGGGACGCACCTTGCCATTGGTCACGAGCAGAGCATTGACCGGCGTCAGCTTGATGGTGCGCGCCTTCTTCCAGTTGCTGTCCGTTGGCTGTGTGTAGAGCAGCTTGCCCTCCATGGCGAAGCGCACCTCATCGTGATTCCACTCGAGCACATCGATGGCCATTTTGCGCAGCTTGATGTTTATCATATCAATTTCGCAGGAGGCACGCCGGTTGGGGCTGGAGGAGCTGATGCGGCGCCAGAGCTTGGTGGGCACATCCTTGGCCTCCTGGTTGATGTGGTTCAGGTGCAGCTCAATTTTCTCCTGGGCCTGCTTCAGCAGCTCACGTCCGTCGATTTGCGAGGGCGTCACCTTGTAGAGACGCGCCAGCAGCAGGGGATACTTGGTCACGCGCTGGACGGGCACCTGTTGGACGAGGGATTGAGAATCGATTAGGGTTTTGGTCATTTGGCCATTTGGCCATGAATACAAAGAGCGAGCACTCACCATCAGAAACGAGTTGAGGTTCATGCGCCGCAGCACGGCATTCTCCATCTGCGAGACCTTCAGGAAGATGCGCAACAATTCCTTTTCCTTCTCGAGATTGGCCAGAAGCAGGCTAGCGCCCGCTTGCCGCACACAGTAACTCTCGAAGGCGTGCAACATCTGCGTAAAGTCCAGAAAGATGCGTCCAATGTTAACCGTGAGCAGATCATCGTCTCCCTGCTCCAGGGACATGTCCAGAGCATCGCGCATACGCTCCGCCAGCGTTTGGTTGTTCTCGAGCAGATCTTCCGTGTTGAGGAAGATTGCGGAGAGCTGCTCCTGGGTGAGCAGGCCGGCCACCAGCATTGGGTGGCAGAATTCCTCGAGTATGATCTGCAGGTCGCGGCCGTACTTCTCCTCCGTCTCCACAATCTCCGTGATGATCTCCTTGCGCTCCACCCGCTTCTTGCCGCACTTGCGGCACACGAGCGGCGCATAGAGCACTCCCGACTCGCCCACCTGCATCTCCACCGCTCCGTCGCAGTCCTCGCAAAGATGCAACACGGTGGGCGTGGCCTGGTACTTGCTGCGCGAGGACTTGCTCGTCTCTGAACCCACACCCGAGTCCTGCCGCTCCACATCGCTGCCACACTTGCCTCCGCCCCCACAGATGAAGCTTTGCGGTGGCGGCGACAACGAGTTCATGTTGCTCTGTCCACTGTCCCGATCCTCGACACGCTTCTCCAGCTCGCCGAGCGTGTCCGTGGCCTCCTCCTCGATGATCTTCGGATTGTTGCTGTAGTCGAAGCTCTCCTCGCGCGCCAGCCCCCGCTCCTTGGCGTCCACCAGGTACGAGAGAATGTCGTACTTGGAGGCGCCCTCGAAGATGGAGCGGGCTGCCTTCTTTTCCAGCTCGGCATCGTTCAGGGGCGGTGCGGAGAGCGGCAGTGGCGGTGGCTTCTCGTTGATCTCCTCGTAAATGGGATCGCCATTGAGTCGAATGGACTCGTAGTGATGTTCCGACTCCTCCACCTCTGTCTCTGTGTGCGTTGAGTGTTCGATCTCGGCCAGCGTGGCATCCACGAGCAGCTGATAGAACTTGGCGCGTGTCGCGGCATCCAGCTCGGGTTCAGCCTCCACTTCGGGTGGTTGCGGCTCCTCCTCGATTATCCCGGAAGCTGTCAGCACGCTGGAGCAGCTCTGATAGCAGTCAGAATCATTGCCGCCGGCAAAGTCAAACAGCTCGTAATTGTGCGCGGAGGCGAAGCTGTTGGCTGAGCCAATGCTGCCCCGATTGGAGAGGCGATCCTCCTCTTTGGTTGTCCGCTCCACGCGTATCCGCTGCAGCGAGGCGCTGATCAGGCGACTCATGTCGTCGTGGTCTTTGGTGCCGCTCATGTCGATGGCCTGGCGTGCCTGCTGCAGCCGCTGCAGCGAGTTCTCAATCAGCTCGGCCACCGTCTCCGTTTCGAGGCCCTCGGCCACCTGCCCCAGCATTGGATCCTGCAGCAACTTGGCGATAAAGCTGCCCTCCTTCGGACTGCTCCTGGGCACAATTGTTGTCACGGCATCCTGCATCTTCTTGGTGCGTCCGGCGGTGTCGCTGGCACTTCCAGAGCGCAGTCCGCACACATGCGGCACGAGGTTGCGCTTCACTGCCTCCACCGGATTCCGCAGGATCTTCAGCAGCTCCGTCTCGTGCTGCACCAAGGGACTGGCCGTCGGACTCGAGCTATCGCTGGCCGATGCCAGCGGCGGTGGCGTAGCTGGCGTTGAACTAATTGCCGGCGGCGTATTAATAGGCGTCGTGCTGGTGCCCGCACCCGTGCCCCTCTCTCTGTCGTAGTCGAGTCGGATGAGCGTGCGTCCCCGGCCGCTGGAGCTGCCGCTGCTGGACGTGGAGCTGCTCGACGTGGAGGAGATGCACGACACGGAACGCTGCAGGTTGATCTCGCTGCTGCGTATGGGGATGATGGCAATGCCCAGACCTGTGCCCGTTCCCCCCAGCATCTGCTGGGTGCGCAGCGTGTTGAGGTGATTCAGCTGCTGCTCCTCCTCCTCGGCGCTGCTCACATTGATGCACACACCGCCCGTGCTGACCGCCTGGCTGTTGCTGTTGCTGTTGACCACCACCGAGGACTGGTACAGCGGCTGTGCCGCATCGGCGCTCAGGTTCATCGTGGAGTAGCAATCATCGCCGCTAATCAGTATCGATGTCTTCTTGGGTGTTGCCTCCTCCTCCGCGGAGAGTTGCAGCCTGGTGCTGGGCCTGCGACGCAGCTGCACACCCAAATCCGTATCATCGTCCTCGCTGTGGGAGATTTTCAAGCGATGCACTTCATGGGCTCCCTCTCCGCTCTGCTGGTAGGGCGCCACACGCACCACAGTCCGCTGCTGCTGCTGCTGGCGTGGCTGTGCCGGAGTCGATGTCGGAATTGGAGTCAAAGTCAAAGTCAAAGTCTCAGCCTTAGCCTTAGCCTGAGAGTCAGACGGAGTCGCGGCTGACTTATTGATTCCTTGTGGCGGCAGCTCTAATCCTTTTGCGGTCTCCGCCAGTGGCCCCTTGGGTGGCGGCGGTGGTGGCGGCTCTGTTGGACGCCTTTGAAATAAATCTCTCGAGTCGCTGCGGTTGCTTTTTGTGCGCAGCGCCATTGTGTCCTTAAAATTTAAAATGACATTCTGTGGCCCACTCACTGAGGACACGGAGCAGCGAGGCAGCGGCGGCGTCGTCTTCGAAATGGAGCTGAAGCTTGAGCTGGAGTTCCTGACGGCGGCGGGGGGAGCGACGGTGGCGGCTGTGATGGGCGCGGCCGACAAATGCCGTTCGCTGTGCGCCCGTCTGATGGGATTTCGCGATTGTGTCGTTTGTGCTGCACGCTTTTGACTTGCCGCAGGCCTGGCCGTATCCTTCTGCCTTGCCACCTTCTTCTCCCCTTCGTTCTTGTCCTCCTCCAACCCATGGCCATTAATGTCGTTGTCGTTGTCGTTGTTGGTGTGGATGCTGCTGCTGCTGCTGCTGCTGTGGCTCTTGTCGTTGCTCTCATCCTTGTCGTTGTGCTCGTCATCATCGTCATAATCGCGATTTGCTGCTGTCGTCTTTTGGGTTGCCATTGCTGTTGCCGCTGTCGTGGCTGTGCCTGCAAAGGAGTAGATGGTGAGACTGGTGAGTGGCGTGTCGCAGCTAGCAAAATGTTGCTGTTTGTAAAGTAAATCTAAGACAGGACCAGAGACGGAGCCAGAGAGACCGGCCTGATCATGGTAGCAATAGCAGCAGACCCCGCCCACACCCCAGGCTGCGTGCCATGCCCATCAGTGCTGCCCTTTCCAGCTGTCTTTTGGCTGTCTTTTGGCTGTCTTTTGGCTACAGCTAGAATTTATGTTCCCTGGCGTTTTGTTGGTTAAATATTTATGCATAATTGGGGCCATTCCATTCCACCTATCGAATCGAATGTTTAGCTATTTATTCATCCAGCACTTGCCACTAAATCGTTTCACTTCGATGCAGATTTATGTGCCAGCCCCACCGAAAAATGGCACTATCCATGCCCCTTCCTCTCTTCTGGTGGCATGCCCCACGTTGACAGCCACTTAAAGATGTGCTTTAGCCCCCGCCGCTCCGATAAGGTGTTTTTGTTTTGTTTTGTTTTGTTTTGTTTTGCTGTGGCAACTCCTTTGGTTGCTGCTTGTGGCCACCAATTGCTGCCTCTGCCTCTGCCAACAGCCATCCCCCATCCCTCCCCTCTCTCAGCTGACAATATGTACGTATCTTTATTTATGGTAAATTGGGTGATTTACGTTGCGGCCGATAAGCTTTGCTTTTCAGCGGGTGCCGCCCGCGCGGCTCCTTGTCTTTGGCATTTGAATTGCCAGCCAAGCTCGAGTCCTTGACTGGAACTGAGACTGGAGACCCTGGCACAAGTCAGCGGCGCTTGTAAATGGGCTTTTATTTTCGTTAGCCCGGGTTAAGACGTGCCACAAGCACGAGGCACGGGGACAAGGGCGAGGATGTGGCTGTAGCCTGTGTCTCAGTCTCAGTCTCAGTCTCTGTCTCAGTGTGGCAAACAATTTGTGTTGGAATTAAGATAATAGATTAGAGTTAAATGTTCTTTGGAGGCGGCTGCGAAAAGGGTTTACTGCTGTCGCTGAAATTTGAGTGCCGCTGCCGCTGCCGACGTCAGCGTCAGGGTCGAGCCCAGAGATAGGATTTTTTGGACTCGCACAGGGACACAGAGTACGGAGTACTGTCCTTGAAGCGCCCCTATCCTCATCATTATCATCAGGCATCAGGCAGCCTTTTAATGAGTGTGAAAAGTGAGCTGGTTTTATGGGTTGCGGCCACCTTTTGCGTTTTATGTTAACGAGTGTCATCAACGTGGAGCGATTCGAGCTCCTGCTCACTCAGTGCACTCTGAACCCCATTGCGACTCGAATGTCTACCGCCCACAAAATGGCACATCATCATCAGCAGCAGCAGCAGCAGCAGCAGCAGCAGCAACACGAAGAGCGGAAGGAAGCCAAAAAGACAGCAACAGCAGGAGCTGTAGCAGCTGCTTAGCCAACAATGAAATGAATTAATTGCTAGAGCCACTTGAATTTCAATCGACAACACTTCGATTTGCTAATCGCATTAGCTGCCTGCCGAAACAGTATGCAAAACAGCGACAAATGGAGCAACAACAGGAAGACGAGGAGTAGAAAGATGGATACCCTTGCCGTGTGCATTGTTGCTATGGCAAGGTGCACAGATTTGCGGGTTTTAATGAACTGAATGAAGAGTTGCTCCCCCAAAAGACTGTGCAAACGGAATCTCAGTAGAATCTACTTCTGTTCTCCTTCTCTGTCAGTGTAGCCTTCTCTCTCTCTGTCTCTCTCTGTGGGCTAAAAAGGTAACTCGGCTTTCATCTACAACACAAACACCCTTTTTGGTCCCCTTTTTTGCAGCGCTATTCCTGCCGTTGGTTGCTCTCTTTCTCTGCGATTTCCACTTAATGAGATTTTTGTTGAGACTTACATTGGCATTGTCGCTGCTGGAAGAATAGTTGCTACCTCTCCACCCACCCACCCACCCTCTCTCTCTCTCTCTCTCTCTCTCTCTATCTTTATCCATCTCTCCCACTATTGTAATTGGCTGTCGACTTGTCTCTTTGTGCAAAAATATTTAATTAACGCCTTTTGTAGTTGTACCCGCCCGCTTATCGTCGTAATCCTGTTTTGTGCCAACAAATGAAACCTGAAATTTGACAACAGGCGGAGCGAGCGGCGAGCGGCGAGCGGCGGGCGGCCTTCCTTTACTTATCTAATTGTCTCGCTTGCCCAGATATCGAGCAAATCCCAAATAAAAACAAACAAATTTACATCAAGTGAAAATGTTGCTGGGAAAAACAAAAGCCAAAAGCAAATACTATCCCTCTATCTATAGTTTGAAGGGGCAGAAAGCTTCGCACAAAGATGTGCTAAATATTTTTAAGAGAAAAACTTATCGAACAAAGAAAACAACAGCCACAACAGCCACACAGCAGAAATAGCTTGCTGTTTGAACAACGTTGAACATGTAATTGCGGAGCAGAGGCAGGCATTAGACTTGCTTCCTGCTGTGGCAGCTTTCAATCAGGAATCTTGTTTAAAATGTGAAATCAATGCAAAGGCAAGATGTAAGTAAAATGGAAATAAAGATGAAAGTGCAGGCGCTGGCTGAGAGGTGCTGTATGTATGTCCTGTTGTATCCCTGCAGGATGCCATTGCTGGCCAAATGCGGCTTTGGTCATTTGAGAAGAAAAAGTAATTAAAAGTGTAACTTGTCGGGATTAGTAAAAACATTTTAATTTAGTTGCGATCCAAAGGAGGAGCAGGAGCACCACCAGCAGCACAAATTGGGAGTAAAAGCAGGAGCCCATGCTCTGCTGTTGTCGTTGTGCAGAGGGTTACACGAAGTGGCAGCAAAGTCAAACTGAAATGGGTCAATAAATCCGAGCTTAATTTTATTGCTCCTGCTAGCCATCGCTTTTCCCTGTCTGTCTGTCTTTCTGTCTGTCTGTCTGTCTGTGCATCTGTGCTCTCCTCCTTTGAGCTATTCTGCTGAGCGAGACGAAGAAATATAAATCGCAATGGTAAACAAATCAAAATAAATGAGTAACAAAAGCAGGGAGCCATGAAGGAGGAGCAGCACACCGACCCGACCCACACCCAGCAATGTGCTGACAAGCTGACAAACTGACTCCAGACTCCATTCGGCAGCAGCAGCAGACTCTGCGCAACGCAAAGGGCAAAGCGAAGAAGCAAAATAAAGAAAGCAGCGGCTGAGCAGGGATTGAGATACGTAAAAGTATCCAGGATTCAGATACAGATGCAGATACAGATTGGAATTGCGATTCGCTTGGGGGGTGTCTGCACCTACCCGACCCTCGACCACCGACTGGCTGCTTACATTGTGTACATTCTGGCTCATTTCAATAAAGGAGCCAAGAAACATTTTTACAAGCAGGACATGTCAGAAAGCAGTTTGCTCCAGAGTTTGATGGAAACTCCCAGAGGGTGGCTCGGGGTGTGGTACCAACAAACAAAAAAACATATAAATTCGCATTAGAAATGCACGAGTTGATTTCGAGTTTTCATTTTGGCTGTGAAATAAGCAAACAATGCCCAGTGCTCTTGCCCCACAGTTGCAACAACTGCCAAACAAGTGCAACGTAAGGTGGCTGCAACAAAAGAATCAGCAGCAGCAGCAGCAGCAGCAGCAGCAGCTTTTTATGCTGTTTGTGTTGCTGTTGTGGCACGTTCCGCTAGCCTGCGCAACATTAATTTCCTTGTCTTGGGTTCTGCTGCTGCTGCTGGTCTTGGGCCTGGGTCCCTTGGCTCCTTTGTCTTCCCCAGATTTTTCCTGCTCCTCCTGCTGCTGCTGCTGCTGCTTCTGTGCCTTCCCTTTTCTCTTCTCCTTGGCAATGTTTTTCTTCATTTTTCGTACAGCTTTTCCATCTTTTTAAATGCGCGTAAACTACTTACAGGCGCATCCGCCGACTCCTACTGCCTCTCTCTCTCTCTCTCTCTCTCTCTCTCTGCTCTGATACAGCTCTGATATTCTATAGATATATTTGTGTGGAGTGCCCGGCAGTCCGGACAGCGTGAACAAAAACAAACTGCCGGCAAACATATTGCAAAAAGTGCAAACAGCGGGCATAAGATGCGTTGAAAATCCTTTATCAGTGAAATTATTTGCACAAGGACAACAGCAGGTGGGGGGGAGGAGGAATTGCTTGCTCTTCAGCAAACAGCGAAGGCAAAATGAAAACGAAATGAAAATGACTCTGGCCAAAAAGGGCGCGTACTGGCACAGAAACTGGCCAAAAACAAACCGATTCCCCCAGTTGGCCCCTGTGCCCTGTCCCTGTCCCTGTCTCTGTCCCCCCACTGTACTTGCTGGCTTGCTTGCCAAATGTGTTGGAAAATTTCTCGCTAAAAAAGAATCTCCGTTGGGGTCTCTCTCTCTCTCTCTCCCACCATCCATTCCCATTCCCATTCCGTGCGCGCGGAGAAGTATGCTACACTTTTCTTTAATGCCAGAGTCTCGGCGCTTTTATGTCATAAAAATTGAGCAAAAGCGAAGAGAAGTACGTACGCCATCAGCACGGAGAACTCTTTTATGGCCAAGCGTTTTAGAGGCGTGGCATACACCAAAGCTACCAGCTTCAGGTCGTGCTCCGACTGCCAGCACCAGCTTCAGCTCCCCTCACTCCTTGCACCTGATGCACTGTGCACTGTGCACTGTGCACTGTGCACTGTGAGCGCAGACAAAGCGCTGCATTATTTAAAGGAACCCAACCGTGGAGAGCGACAGCGAGCGGAGTTCCTGGCCTGAGTAGGGGCAACGCGGCAAAATGCAATTAAAGCGCCGCTTTGGAGCATTCTCGCACAACCTTTCAAAAATCTACTTGCCAAGTTTTTCCATGCATTGCGAGGACACAACACAACGAACAACAACAACAACAGAATTCCGCTTTCTACACCCGCACACCCACACATACAGAGACAACTGGCAGACAAGTTCTAGAAAATACTAAAAATACTTAATTTAGCTGAAAATGTCGCTGGCTTTTGTTTTTTCAGTGCAATGCTGCCCTCCCCTTCCCACTCTCACTCCAGG